CTCACATGGCTCAGGGTTCTTAATCCAGGGGAATGAAGGGAAGGGGCTATGTAAACATGAGTAGAAGACAATTACATCTTTATTTTCACTAACCTCTAACTAAACTCAACATGACAGGCCACACAGGTTCAGCATGCCCCGTGCATTTGGTTAACCAATATAAATTAGATATTTTTATAGCAATCATTGCATGGTTAGAAATACAGTTTGTGTCTCTCATTTCTTCAAAATAACAGTAGTTATTAAGTTCATCACCAGATTTTGTTCTTTTACATGCTAATTAATAGCCAAGGATGCCTATCATATTAACATTTCTAGTACCCTCATTACTGCACTTTAATAATTACTTTTCTCTGTAATTCCAGTTGCAAATGTTCTGTATCTACTAGCATTACTCTGAGAAGGGGCTCAATGGCTTCAGCAAACTGCAGAATGGATTTGTTCATCACACACACACACACACACACACACACACACACACACAATGGTTAAGAAGCCCCAAAGTAGTTGACATGTTACTGGAGCATTATGTTACTGGGGCATTATGGGCATTTCAATGAATTCTGTTCAGGCTTTGCTACCTGGAGTGTTACCATGGCAATTTCTCCAATGCAACAAAACTCCAGTCAGGGTCATTTGTATTGTAGGCAAAGGGGTTCCCCCATTGGTGGGGGGGGCAAGTGAGGGTTAACCCATGAACTGTTTAACATGAGGTCCTGCTCCCCTTCCCAGCCTGGGCCCCAGCAGACCTTCATTTATGAATGTCCATTGACAGCCATGGCCCATGGCTCCCCCTGTAGTCACTTCTGCTCACATTTTTTTTCTCACCACTATGGTGTCTCCCCCACCCCCAAACACACACACCCACACCCCTTAGCTTGCTGAGAACTAAGCACAGATTTGAGAAGCAGAGTATGCAGGGTATAAGTCAGAGAGAATGAACCAGTTGACTAATCTTGGGATGTTCCTCAGCCTCAGCCTTCTCATCTATACAATGGAGATCACACAACCAATAGGGTTGCTGCTAGGATGAAAAGCATTTGCATTATTTTCTTTATCGTGAAATAAGTTATCACATATTAAGACCCTACAAATAATCCTGTGAGGACAGTTATCACATATTAAGACCCTACAAATAATCCTGTGAGGACAGTTATCACATATTAAGACCCTACAAATAATCCTGTGGAGGACAGTTGTAACCTCCACATCCAATTTAAAATACAAGTGTAGGGGGGAGGCATTCACAGTGCCAAACAA